GCTAAAAAAGTGTTTTTTTGTTTTTTTTTTTTTTGGGGGGGGGGGTGCAACAAACTTTTCCGAAGATTTTAAACAGCTCACCCCTATCCATGTCTCGCTACAGTAAGTTATTTTGACAGTATGTCACATCACAGCATTTTTCGTGTCAGCTATGTTGATTTTATCAGTTCCAGTATTGCCATTTAATGTACAGTTTACACACACATTTCACAGAATTTCACTTATTGCTGGGGTAGTCTGAAAGGTAACCCCCGCGACGGGGGGTGGGGGGTTATGGCATTCCAACGATGACTTCCACGCACCCCTTTCGTTACCCCGCCAGAGTTGCATTCATCTGAAGCCTTGCAAGGCACATCAAAGCAGCTGAGAGCCGAACTGAATCATGTTTTGTGTGTGTGTGTGTGTGTGTGTGTGCGTGTGTGTGTGTGTGTGTGTGTGTGTGTGTTTTGGCTTTTTGGATTTTCACAGCTATCAGTTGCCCAAAGCTCCACTCCAAAACAAACACATTAGAGGCCATGAGTCAGAGAGAGAGAGAGAGTGTGTGTGTGTGTGTGTGTGTGTGTGTGTGTGTGTGTGTGTGTGTGTGTGTGTGTGTTACCAAACACTTCCTGAAGCTCGCGTTGAACTTTGTGGTGCACGTCGGGGTGAGAGCCCAAGAGATGAAGGGCCCAGTTCATTGCGGCTGCCGTCGTGTCGTGGCCCTGCGAAAAACAACAATTGCAACAAACAACACATTAGACTAATTCCGAAAAAAAAAAAAATAGACGCATCTAAATGCAAACTATAGCGATGTTACTCGCGCTGCGACGCCGTTGGGCTAGCATATTCTCAGATTTTATTGCTATATATTTCTTTTATTTGTACTTTGCTTGCTGCCCAAAGACGGCTGGGATGGGCTCCAGCCCGCCGCGCCCTGCGACCCCTCATGAAGCTAAGCGGCCACGAATGAATATGAATGAAAGTGTAGCAACCCTGAACATGAAGGTGTCCACTTCCTCCTGGATGTCCTGGTGGCTCATGGTGTTTCCGTCCTCGTCTTTGGTCTCGAGCAACATGTCCAGGAACGCCCGCCTCTTCCTGGGCTTCGATTTGTCCTCCAGTTTCAGACTCTCGGCTCGCTCCCGAATCACCTGACAGGAGTTCACTCGTTTCAGGCTCCCTGAACTGAGAGTTCAAATGGTCTACTAAAAATACACAATGTATGTGTGTGTGTGTATCCATCTCTCTATTTATTTAGAGAAAGAGAGACACACACTCCCTAGATCACCGGTGTCAAACTCAAGGCCCGGGGACCACATCTGACCCGCCATGTCATTTTATGTGGCCCGCGAAAGCAAATCATGGGTGTCAAATCTGTACTAAAATGTCAGATTGTCACGTCATAAATAATGTTGAGATTGTGCGGTAATTTTATTACCCTGTTTACACTCGCTTGAGCAGACTATTAGAGTGGACTTGACTGATTTCAAAACCAGTTGGTGTTGTGTACAAGTAATAATGCGAGGAGATTTTTGGGTTTGGGTTTTTTTTTTTGTAGTTTCACCGTCATACGGCATAACTCCAAAGTGGCCTGTGACAAAAATGAGTTTGACACCCCTGTTCGAGACAGACCGACACACACACACAAACACACACTTACCTCGTATGTGAACGAATGTAGCAATTTGAGCGTACTGTCGTGCATGTTCCCCTCGCCAAAGTATTTATACGTAAAGTCGGGCCAAAACCATGGCGCCCTCTGTCTGCGACTGATGATGTCACTCATTCTTGTTGAAGCAAACACAAAAGCATCGCATTATTTCCTTAAACTTTGCAATACTTTTTTTTTTTTTTGAAATGCACATTTAAACGTACTTGTAGACACACTGGACATATTCGGACTCAGAATTGCTTTGGGCGTGGATTTTCCTTCCCATGGCAGTTTCTACAAAAGAGATGCAAAATTGCAAAATCATCAACATCTGCGGGCAGAGGCGTCACCTGCCCCACGCGACTTCAGTCACAAACAAGCAGACAAATGAGGGTGGAAATGTGGAAAAAGTGGATACGCAGTGCATTAGGGATAAAAAAAAAAAATACTAAAGAGTGGAAGATGGGGGGGGGGGTGCTCATATGCTGGGATTTCCGCACTGCCGAGTCAGTTATTTTATTGGACGTAAATGAGGCCGCGTAGCCCCCTGCTCCTAGTTGCTACATGGGAAAGGCATAATCAGACCCAAATGCAAACCGCATTTATTTTATCCCACTTTTGGGGCAAAACCGATTCGGCCCCCGCAAATTCTGCTGAGCAACCGTCGTTTGTTGCCAGTTCCAACAGTACACCGACCGCAGATGATGTCCAGGGCGCACAGCGTGACATAGTTGAAGCAGTTGAAGGCGCCTCTGCCCGCCTGGGAGGCCAACTTGGTCACCAGGACCTCGGCCTGCTCGTTCATCACTTCCAGGAAGTCCTGCAGGATGGTGAAGTGGAAGGTGGGTGTCAGCATCTTGCGCCGTTGGCGCCACTTTGGCCCCGTGCTGTCAAAATTTCAAGCAAAGTTAGTCAATTCAGCCCTCGGGATCGTTTGGACGAAGGGTGACATTTAGGCGCCGTGAGTACACGCGCCAAAAAAAAAAAAAAACGATACCAGAATAGAGAAACGGGAAGTCTGCCATCTTGCAGAGGGAATGAGAAAAGGACTCGGGTGTTGGCCAGAGTTGCGAGCGCAGCTGCGACAGTCGTATGCTGTGACATCATGTACGATTGTACGGTAAACAGACGTTGTTTTAGAAACATGATGTGACTGGATTGATAATTTCGCAATCGCCGGTGTATAAAACGGCAAATCTTCTTCGAAAAATGTTCGCACCTCATCGGTTCATTCAATTGAATTGGGATCAAACGTCTTATTTTTGTAGCGGCGCAGGTGTTCCTTACTTGACAGCTACGATCGTCTTTTCATCGAATCCATCGTAATATCGTGATCGAGAGAGCGTTTTTGGGGTGGAAATTCGCCCTTGACACGAGCGTCACATATCGACATCACCGATCTACGGAAAAGTTCCCAGGAAAACCAACAGGAAGTCGTCGTGTTTGGTCCGAAGTTGCCATTTTGGATGAATTCCAGGATTTTGATCAACTTCTACTCACGTACGTGCACAAAACTTTGCAGCCCATGCCATTCCATGTGTAGAATGGCCTCAAAGTTTGGCATTTCGTACCTGGTGAGCAGGCCGGTTCCAAGCCAGGGATGAAGGAAGCTGTAAGTGATCGATTTCTCCATGTGGGCAGGGTTGCTCACAATTGGCTGGAGGGAAAACATGAATTAAACAAAGCATAAGTAAACTGGCATCGAATATATGCAGTGCGTCTGGAAAGTGCTTCGTCTTTTCGCCATTTTGTTACATTGCCTCTGTCAGAAATGGAGTATACGTATTTTATTGCTCCAAATGACACACTCCTGAACCACGTAATATAAATTGGGTTCAGATTTGCTCCGTTTGCTCTGATCCTCCTTAAAATGTTCCTCCTGCTTTTTTGTAGTCAAACCAAACACGTCGTTGAAGGTCCGTAAACCTCCAAGACGGTTTCGTCTCAAGGCACAGTTGTAGAGCGGGGTACGGAAAATTTGTCCTGAGGAAAAAAAAAACAAAAAAAATCCGATCTCGAAAAGCTCTCAAGTCAGGTCACTCTTATCTCAAGGCACCACAGTATAGACTTTGATCCCTGTTGCGTCACATTTGGATTCTTATTTCATTTAATCATTCATTCATTTATTTATTTTCGCACAAAATAATTTTTTAGATTTGTTTTTACTCCTGCCTCCCTTGCCTGCTCCTCTGTGGTTCCTTTTTACCGCCACACCACCACAAATACCTCAAATCGTGAGCATAAGAACCATCACTTTGTCCTCTGGGCGACCCCCCAAACAAAACGTGGAAAAAGTGAAGTGTGTAATGTGTATACTATACCTCGACAGTTTCTGCGTGATAAAGAATCACAAAGGGCACTATCCCAAGCCAGAGTTTAATCAGCGGCGCATCGCGGAACTCTTCCACATAACCTTGAATTTGCCCAAAGAACTCTGCAACACAAGATAAGCATCTGTGTACATCTGGGGTTCTCAAATTTTGGGGGTCTGCAAAATCAATGGCAACGAACTGTTGTATTGGTTTCAAAAACATTTCTGTTACATTAACATTTCATCTTGGGGGGTGGGGGGAGTATTTGCGTAAGAGTGTGTGACTTTTGACCAAACAAAATTTGCCTTTTTTTTTTTTTTAGCAAAGAAAACAAAAAAAAAAAAACGTTATTCTTATAACATTAAAAAAATAAATACAAATCGCAAAAATTATGAATTTGTTCCTGGAAAAATGTGACCTTTTTTGTTTTTGCAATTGAACACAGGCAACTTTTATGGCATGCGCATGTACACTTTTTTCTTAAAACAACAAAAAAACGTTCCTCTCATAACATTAAAAATAAATACAAATCTCAAAATTATGAATTTGTTTCTGGAAAAATGTGACTTTTTTTGGGCAATCGAACGCAGGCGATTTTAATGGCATTTGCGAGTTCACTTTTTTAAAACAAAAAAAATAATAACATTAAGAAATAAATACAAATCTCAAAAATTATAAATTTGTTGCAGGAAAATGTGATTTATTATTATTTTTTTTTTTTTGCAATTTAACACACGCAACTTTTATGGCATGCGTGCGTACACGTGGTCGTGAAGTTTAGATTTATAAGGCAGTCCGAGGGAACATTTCTTCAAGGATTCCCTGCAAAGTGTGACAATCGGAGCACGGCGTCCACTCACCTACCGCGTCGGTCTTCAAGTCCAGCGCGTTGCCGATGAATGGGTACGTGCGGCTGACGGCCGGGATCGGCTTCATGACCACCCATTTTTTCAGATATCCACTCAGCTGTTTGTAGGTGAGCGCCACCAGGGCGAGGAGCACGCCGACGCCCAGAAACGGCACCGACACGCTGGCGGGTATGATCGCCATGTTGTTCGACTGTCGTGTAGTGCACGATGGAAGCGGGCGGGGTTACATATAAGCGAGTAGCAGGCGGGGTGAGCGGAGCTGACCTCAGCCGCACTTTGTGCTGTTTGTCTTTGACTGCAGAGAGGTCGGTGTGTCTTTTTTTATGTAATGATCACAGTCGCCGTCACACGGGGAGGCGAACCAGCCAATCACCATGGGGTCCGAGATCAAGGGCCCCTTACTAGCTGTTGTTGGCTGGTGACGTTTGTAGGGGACCCCAACATACGGCTTCCATTGGTCTATATCAGTGACACAATTGCATACAGATAATAAAAGGACACAAGCAGGCTTGTTGGAATACAGTCCAACAAAATGAAATTAAGTCAAGAAAAAAGAGGATGAAAAGAAAGAAAGAATATGTATCCGTTACATGAGCAAAATAGTGATGCCAGTTTGTCGCAGTCCCGTCAAGCGTCAGAAATGTTCATGAGGCATTATGAGCTAACTTTAGTGAAAAAGCTGATCAGCTAATAAGATCGTGGGAAAATACAGTAACAATCCATGTCTATTTGTTTTTTTTAAATACTCACAGGCATATTTTCTCTATCCTGAATGAAAAACGACCAACGTTATTACACCTTGCTGAATCTGATTTGTGGTGACCCATCTTTGTTTTTGTTAGACTGTATTATACTGCCATCCAGTGGCCAAGACGGCAACACCAGAAGGAGCGGCACGATGAAGAGAATTTTCGTAAAATCATGATGCACAAAGTACAGTAATTCACTCTTAACATTTCATTTCACCATTGATTTGCGTTTTTTTCTGAATAAAACCCAATGCAATTTGGGGTTGTTTGTTCGTGGGAGGGCTGGAACAGATTCCGGCATTTCAATTCAATGGAGAAAGTCAAGTGACCCAAAGTAACCTTCCATACTGTAATGCCCTTCAATGTGGACAGAAGGATGCAGGCAATCGCTGGTGCAATCTGTCGCTTTTTCATTAACAAAAGGGGCAATTAAATTAACACACATTCATAGGAGTTGCTGTGAGCCACAACTCACGCCCATGCGCTCCACACTCAGACTAACTGTTGAAGCCAATGTTACCCCAACCCGGCTCGTCCCCTCTCTATGACGTCACCCGCGACTCAACTAACCCAGCCCTCGACCACACAAACACAAGAAACATACTGTATATTACACTGCGATAAAAGCAGTAAAATATAGATATATTCAAAAAGTTATGAACAAAATCAGCGAATTATCAACACTGTTATTGGTCTATTTTCTTTTGTTTGCGATAAGTGTTGGTAGTTGTTATTTTATAGATTAAATATTTGATAAAAGATATTGATGCTAATCGATCGTTCCGGCGGGGGGCGCCATAGTCGTTCTTTCCCGGGCAGTTGAGAAACCCACCTGCTCGTGATGGCAGGGTGTGCTTGGTGTCAAATAATAGGAGTAGAATTACACACAGTTGACTCACGTAGACTTCAGGGTGTACCGAAATAGTCATTTGGGACAGGACCAGCTAGCGGCTAGCTGCTAGCCGCTGCCCTAATGAGGACAAGCAAGAGTTCTTATATTATTCACTTCAAATGCAGAAAGTGTAAGGCGTAGAAATTAACAATGGCCACTACATGTCACTCTGACCATTTCAAACGATGACGCTGCAATGAACAATCAGGCAAAAACAAACATGGTGACGTTTTTATGTGATATCATCAAATTGTACTGAAGTTAAGATACAGCCATTCTTTCTTATGGCACAAAGATGTAATTTATTAATTTATTGAGCTTAAAAATGCGGTCCAGAGAATGGATTGATGCTTCGAGATTGTGAGAACTTTGATGTGATTGGATAAAATATGACCAACGGAATGTAATGGGATTCATTCTGGGACTTGTTGTTCAAAGCAGGGGTGGAAATCGATTGGTCGTCCCGAGGGCGATGAGCAGCTTTTGACGGAAGGCGACCACTCGCTCCTTGTGGACGGGCCAGTGGAGGACGCAGCGTTTCCTCAGCATCCCGCGGCGCAGGAAGAGCGAGCGCGATAGCTTGTAGTCGTGGACGTCCTGGAGGAAGACCAGGATCACAGAGTCCCTGCTGGCCTCCATCACTTGGTGCAATGCATGATGGGCCTTGAAGCTGCATGCAGGATACAAAAGCCCAATTAAAAAAAGTAAATATCTCCATATTGGTAATACAAATGAGACCAATTTTTGGAAGATTTACGGTTGTTTTTTTTTTTTTTTTGAATGAACTTTGCTTTTTGGGGAATAATTGTCGCAGTATGTTAAGCTGCGGAACTATTCTCATTTTATTTTAGCCTGTACAGATTTTATGTGAGATTATTTGAAAGTGTCATTTCGGGGCATGGAGGTTTCTGATATTCTTATTTTACCCTGTAAAAACTTTTATTGTCAAAATTTACTTTTGGCAATCGAGTGTTAACCTGTAAAAATGCTGTGGGTTTGCAATCATCTCATTTATGGAGGCTTATTTTTTAACCTGTGGGATTTTTGGGGGATTTACAGTCATCATATCACAGCCTCCTCCTTTATTGGAGATTTATGCTCGTCCTTTGTTCACCTGGGCATCCCTTACAAAAAATGGTTTTAGAAGAACAAAACAAAAAGATCTACCGTCTGCACCACGGATCGCTGAGGAGGCTTTCAGTGACCACAAAAAGAATTTTGCGGGAATTCCTCATGTTCTCCACGATGGACTCCAGCTGGGACTCCCCTGGCAGCGAATCCCGATCCTCCAGGCAAAACTTGCACGCGTTTCCCTCAAGGGGCATCAAGGCTCTTTCCACCCAGCTGCCGTCGACCTCGGCGTGGATGATGTAGGCGTCATATTCGAACTGCTGACCCTTCTCCGGCGTAGTGTCGCTGAAGCCCAAAGCCCGATTGACCAGGATGTTCCAGTAGAATTGGATCCTCCAGCCGTGAAAGCGCACCAGAAGCGCTATCGCTGTCAGCAGCGCCACCAGCGTACTGTTTAGTATGTAGAGCGCCCGGAATGGTGCCATGTCCTTGCAGGAGAGGGGGTCGAAATCTGTGATGGAGCGGTTGAAGTAAGCGAGCGGCGTGTTGCACATGTACTGCTCTCTCAAGCCAGGAACGCTGGTTGTGTTGGTGGTGTTCAACCAGGTCAGAAACCACAGGATGCTCTCGCACGTGCAGTCGAAGGGATTCCGATCCATCAGGAGTTCGCTGAGGTTGGCCAAAGGAACGCGGAACACCTGGGGCCTCACGGCCGTGATCAGGCTCCTCTGCAGATGTAAGACTTTCAGGGAGGTCAGGCTGTCGAAGACCGAGTCCTTCAGGTTGTTGAGCAGATTGTTGCTAAGACTGAGCTCACGCAGGTTCCTCAGCCCGCTCAGCGCCTCGGCGGGGATCTCGTCGAGCCCGTTGTTGTCCATCTGCAGGCTGGTCATGTTCTCCAGGCCTTTCAGGTAGAGCACGGCCCCCCCGAGATTGACGTCCTTCCACAGCCGCGCCAGGTTGTTGTGTTGCAGCTTGAGGACCTTCAGGTTGACGAGATTGGTCAGTAAGTTCGCCCTCAAGTTGGCGATGTTGTTGTTGCTCAGGTCCAAGTAGGCGAGGTTGGACAAGGGCTCGAACGGCGAACGATCCAAGTTCAAGGACATCGCCGTGAGGCTTTTACTCAGCGTCAGCACCCTGAGAAGGGGAACCCCGACAAACGACGCGGGGCTGAGGGTGATGGTTTGGTGGTTGAAGGACATGTGAAGCTCCTGGAGACGATCCAAGCCTTGGAACTCTGCCCCGCCGACAGTCTGCTTGATGAAATTCAAATCCAGAAAAAGGTGCGTGAGGTTCCGCAAATGGGAGAAGGCGCCGTGTTGAATCTGCAAAATGGCCGTCGCCGTCATGTTGAGCTTCAGCAACTGCGACCCGCCCAGCGAAGCCAGTGTCCTGTTGGAGATCGTTTTCAGCGACACGTAGCTGCTCCAGCTCAGGTCCAGATATTTGAGACTTTTCAAGCCCGCGAAGGTGTGCTCGCTAATCTCCCGCGCCGTCGTCTTCTGCAAACACAAAGTCTCCAGGGCGCCCAGCAGCTGGAAGGAGAAGTCTTCAATGATGGGCGTGGCGGAGGTATGACTTTTCACCAGAGCTTTCCTCAAGTCCAGCTGCTTTAAACTGTCAAGACCCTCAAACGTCCGCTTGGTCAAGTGCTTGATGTTGTTGTCTGACAAAACAAGGGCATCCAGTTTGCCGAGCCACCGGAACGAGCCCTCTTCGATTTTCCCCAAGCCGTTGCCGGAGAGGTCCAGCGAGGTGACGTTGGTTCGCCGCAGCTCTTTGAAGGTGCCGTTGGTGAGCGTGACCAGCTTCATTCTCTGCAGGGACAATTTCCGGATCGACGTTCCCGACAGCGCAGCGCAGAGTTTGGAGATGGACGTCGTTCCCATGTTGCTCCCGTCCATGATTAAGATATGCAAGTGGGAAATGGGCTGGAAGGAACCGGGCTCCACCTGTGGGGGGGTGGGGGGGGGGGAATACATTAGTGGTGGCTAAATGGACCACAAAACTTGTCACTGCATGCCCCGCGTGTCCTGACCAAGGGAAGGTGACACCCAGGTCTGATCATTGGTCTCAGATTCATTTGAAAAGTCATGACGTGTCAGCTGGTGCTGTTCCACTGTCGTCCTGTGGGTGGCGTTATTACGCACGATGAAACAAGTGTCCGTGCAAAGCGACCTGGCACATTGCACCACTTTGCCTCAGTGCAAAACAACTGTAACAAAAATGAAAAGGAGCCATAACAGGGCGGGAAGTTCAATGCCACTTTTGTTCAAACACAAGTACGAGTTTGCACTCTTTGAGTCCTCCCCATTCCGGAAAACCGATACCTCTAGGTCAGTGCTTCTTAACCTTGTTAGAGGTACCAAACCCAACCAGTTTATTTGCACGTTCACCGAATCCATCATTAGTCCATCCATTTTCCGATCCGCCTTCTCCTCACAAGGGACGCGGAGGCTGCTGGAGCCCATCCCAGC